CGCCAGCGTGCCGCTGGTGACGCTGGTGAAGCTAGATCGATATGCATCCTCTCTTCGGCACTGCCGCTGGCGTACGCTGGAAGCGCTACGCTACGCTGCCGCAAAGTATAAACGCAGCCTTAAGGCTGCTTTCATACTTTGCGACCCTTCACAGCGTCTATCTACCGGCATCCACTACATTCCGAGCGTCTAGCGTCAGCGACAAGGGCAGTATAGATATCGATCTACCAGTCTGCCAGCGTCTGCGACGTGCTTCTGTCAGCGTGCGCCAGCGTCTCGAGATCTAGGGGAGAATAGGTATCGATTTATCGTTGGCCAACATTGCCAGGTCTAACAGCGTCCACCAGAGTTCACCGGCGAGCGGAGTAGAGAGTATGGGGAAGTAGGAGGGTAGCAAACAGCTGGATTAGGCGTCGTGAAATTGCGGCGTGTGCAACCGCACCGCACAACTGCTAAAGCACAGAATTATGCAATTTAATGTGCGGTGTGGGGTTATACGGTGCGGTTGCACACGCCGCAATTTCACGACGTATAATCCAGCTGTCTACTCCCTCCTACTTCCCCATACTTTCTTTTCCCGGTTGCTGATGAACGCTGGCAGACACTAGATCTATATCCATTTTTTCCTAGTCCCTCGAAACGCTGATGGTCGCTGGCGGACGCTGGTGGACGCTGATGGACGCGGCTAGATCGATATCTATACTTTCCTAGTCGCTGACGCTGATGGACGCTCGAAACGCTGATGGTCGCTGGGGTAGCTGCCGCCATGAATGAACGCAGAATTTTCCCCAGTCGCCACATCGCAATCCAAGTTGATTCGAGAGATAGAGTCGAAGCGCAGTGCCATTCAGAGGGTTGGGTCCTGGTGCGGTCAACTAGCGTGGAAAAGTTCTACATGGGGGTAATAGTTTCAAAGTAACGCAGTTGCTTTGAAGCTTGTAAACGCTACATAGTCATTAGAAAGACGGTAGGATTTGATCGAGACCAATGTCTTCTGCAGGAAAAAGAAAAGACAGCACTGGAGTTTGAAAAATCAAAACCGATTGGCAAAACGGTACGTCAAACGCTTTTGTTACGTAGCTATTGAATATTTTTTAACAGCATTCTCTTTTGAGTGAGCTGAAACATTGTTGGGAATGGAGACCTCGAACCCGTCACCTTGTACCCACCAATTCGTAGGACGCTAATGCAGTTGGGCAGGGGAAAGGGCCAGCCAGCAACAGGGCTATACCACGCCCATCTCTATTCGCCTGTGCCCTGTCACTATGCATGGTCGATGGGTTTGTTTGAGCCCCTTATGGAAAAATGGCCGTAATCTGGAGTCACGTCACTGGCAAACAGCTCAGCAGTGGCCTCAGCTACAGTCATCTTCTGGGTCGTTTCAGGAGTCTAGGTTTGGCGCGGTGCCAGCCTGTCCCTCACCAATTTTAGAAGTTGGCAGACGGACGACTATTGGTGGACAAATACTGGCTGCCGCAACCAACGGCAGCACCTTAAGCGCCCAGCGTACGGGCAGAGAACAAGACTGTAAGCACAAAGCGCCGGTATGCACTACTTCTAGGGAAAAAAGCTTTGTGAGATTTCCGATCTGGTTCGGAAAGACGCCCTCAACCCGTAATTCGAGCTTACTATGACTACTTTTAAATCAGTAGCAGTTCTTGATCTTCATTATTATCAAATCGGCAACGTTTTTGATTTTGAGCAACCCAGTGAACTGCCGGACGAAGAAAACAAGCAGGGTAAAAGGAAATTCAAACCACCGCCGAATATCACCAAAGCCGACGCAAAAGATCCGCAATATGAGGTTGGTATTTCCTTACCTTTGCTGGAATTCGCCACACTTATGGAGCACTTTTGTGCTACTATTCAAAATTCCGAAACATCCAAATTTAAACGTATCCAAAAATAAAAAAAAACGTTTTAGACGCTACGTGGAATCGGTAACGAGTTGTTTGCTGGCGATAAAGACAAAGAGAAAAATGAAGAAGTGAAAGAAGTGAAGAAAGAGGGACCTTCAGCAGAAGGACAGCAGGCACAAGCCCAGGCTGCAAAAAAGTTCAAACAGCCACCCAAGGTTTGTCGGAGGGACACTGTGAAGAGGATGTGGGTCAGGAAGTCCAAATTATAGCATACGCATTGCGGACAGCAGCGCGCCGGCGACTGAGCTTCTACGGGCTGTCAGGACTTGGATCTCCTTGCCCACTCCGTTAGAGGATCGTGTAGAGTTTTTGTTCCCGCCGTGCGCCGCGTTCGAAGAAATCGGCAGCGACCGTAGGGTTAAACCTAGTTGCAGTTGTGTACACCCTAGTTGCAACAGTGGTGCCGTCACTCAGCTTCAGATTTTCTTATTTCAGGTAGCCTTAGTTTTGAGTTCCAGTCTTGTTCGAGTGCGTGTCAGGAGGACTGGTTCGGTGCGACGCCAGCCAGTTTTCGCCGACTGTGGCCGCCTGCCAGCTTCCACAGATTGCAAAGAACGCAATGGCTTCGAGCCAAATCCAGCTCCCCCTCCCCAGCCCTACTGATCGAGACTGCATATCACTTACTTTGCAGCAAGCTAGCAAATGCCTCGTTTCAGCTGCAGTGCAATTTCGCAGCGTCTGACGTCTGTAGGGAGCAAGTGCAGGTTTCTGACAAGAGGCTCATTTTGAGGCAGCACGCCAAAGCCATATTATCGCGCACGCGGCGTAATCTTTCCGCTTCGCTGAAGTTCTCCGTAGCGCATACTCCGCGCGTGTACACCTCTTGCGTCCCGCACCATCGCAACGTGAACCTCCTGACGAAAACTCAAACGCTACTTATCCTCTCTTTACAGGGTATTCACCGATACATAAAGTGTGATCTTGGGTGTGTTAATTTTAGGTGCAAAAAGTTGATGCAAAAGATCCGCAATATGAAACACTGGCTGATGTTAAAGACGACATTTTTAAGGGATAGCATTTCAACGTTTAATGCTTATAATAAACATCAAGCAAGTCTTTGCACATGTTACAAAAAGTCCGACAACCAATTCGTTTATCGCGCCATGCGGTGAATTTGCATTCGAAATCGCTGGCGCATTTGAATGTGCTTACCGTGTTCTACAAGACAACCGATATTTGACCGATTTTCTACAAGGCAAGTCTTCGACAAGATCTTGGCTTAGGATAAAAAGGATAGAGGATGAGACTTTTGACGTTGACCAATAATTTATAGGGTTATGTCACGCAGGTACGAGACAAGACAATTGTAATTCGCCGCGCTGTAGGGCATTCTGATCGGACATTTTTACCACCATATTAAAGAGCATATTAAATACTATCATGACACTCCGCCACAGCCTTCTGGACGAGCGCCATCGAGAGATTCTGGCACGCGACCGCGATGTGGTGCCTGAGATCAACGACACAGTGTTTTCTCCGCCACCGTAGACCACCTTATTGAACA